GCGGGAGGAGGAAGACTCATTGTCAAGGCCAAGCTTCAGAGCTTGCCAACCAGCCAGGCCTGGAGGAAGGTGACCACCGAACCTTAACATCTAACCCATTTCCCAACCTAAACTACCTCTTTGTGTCGGGGAGAGCAGCCGTCCCCGTCTCCCTGAGGCAGCCAGCCATCAGCTTTTTGGGAGATGGTGGCACCCTGGGCCCTTGCCCCACAGTCATGCCACACTCAGCTGGTCCACACTGGAGATTTCCTCCTACATCCTGCATAAATTGTCCGTGTGCTAGCCCAGGTCACAGGAAGGCTCTGGTTTTAACCCGGTGTGAGGTGTCTCCTGGATGTGGTTCACCCTTGCTTGTTATTCAGCAGGTGACCACCATGCTGAGGGGGCGGAGCCTGCCAGCCCTGCTCAGAGGCTGCTGTTAATCAAAATTGGGAAGATGCCAAAGTTCACGTGCCAAACTGTCTGTCACTTGGCCACTTCTCCCTGGCTGCACGTAGACACCAGTACCTACTCCATCTGATCCTGCTTTACATCACGCAGAGGTGGCCAAGTGCTGGGGACTTTGGCCCTCCTCCGAATGGCCCCAGACAGCTTTATCTTGCTGGCCCGCTGCCTCTTCCAGTCAGTGCTCGTGACAGCAGATTGCTTCCAGAGGCCCCATCCTTGAATATTTCTGGCTGGCTGCCAGCAACAACACACCAGACCTCCAGTGTCTGGAGCAGCAAGCGGAGTCTTGTGCTTGATTCCACGTGTTGAAAGAAAGCCCCTAAAGCACTTGGATTTTGTGACTATCTTTTTCATAATACGTACCTTTTTCAGTCGGTTCCTACATGGCTGTGGTTGGCAGCGTCCGGTGGTCAGATTAGAGAACTCTGGCAACGATCCATCAGTTACTCCCCCTCCCCTGGCTTGGCAGGACTGCTAGGCGCACACACTCGTGCACACGTGCCGTGAGGCAAGCTGTCCTGGTGAGCTCTGACTCAGGAATCACAGGCATGTGTCCCAGGGCCTGACCCGAGGCCTGGGACCATCTCACAGGACAGGTCAGGGATGGGCTCCCTCCCCTTCCTCTGCAGCCCCCAGCTCTCCCAGGTCCTCCCCTTCCCTCCCCACCCACATTCAGCTGAGCTCCTGCTGTGTGCCGTACTTGGCCTGGGCCTTTCCCTTCCTCACAACAGCCCTGTGGGGTTGATGGTTTTGACCACTTACAGACGGGGAAACTGAGGCTCCAGGAAGCAAAGACTTGCTAGTCTCACACTAAGCGATGGAAGAGTGGGACTCGATTCTTTACACACTGTTGCCTCTCCCTGCCCAGCCCACACCCTCTGCCTGCCTGCCTCGTTCTGTCGTTCTGTCCACCGTCCACCAGCCGAGCAACAGCGCCATTCAACAGAGGCCCCTCAGGGAGGAATGGAGATTTCACCAGGGCCTAAGCCCGGGCCTCTCCCAGTGGCAGCAGGAAGCCCAGGGAACCTCCAGTACATGGCTTCAGGGGCTCACAGTCCTGTTGGCGGCTAAAGGGGCCACGTCTTGCTGCTTTTCCTGTGTGTGGTATCCCCTGAGCACCAGCTACACACCAGGCATGGTCTGGGTGCTGAGAAAACAGAGGTGAATATGGCCAAGTGCCGCCCCGGGTGGGTCACGTGGAGGGGAAGGGGACCATGACAACGAATGTAAATTCGAAAAGCGACGGCGCTCTGGAATGAAGGAAAGGGAAGCGTACAGCGTGATGGAGCTGGGAGGTCAGGAAGGGCCTCTGCCCACGGCCCACGGCTGGAGCGGTAAGGTGGAGCAGGGCGCAGAGAGCCAGGCAGGAAGGGGGCCAGGAAGGTCTCCGGACCTCCCCCGGGCATGGCGGCGCGGGGCGTCCCTTAGGGGCCCCTCCAGAGAGAAGGCTGCCGGGCTGGGGGCAGGTGAGGGAGCCCTGGCAGAAGCCATCCGTGCTGGCCAGGCTGGGTTTCCTGGCGCAGGCTGTCTGGGCTGATCACAACAGCGGCAGAAAGTCTGGCTCCGCATAGAAGAGAACCAGCTGTCGGTGAGGGCCTTGGGCTATGGCTGCGGGGGAAGGATGAATGAGGTGCCAAGAGCACCTGCTGGGCCCAGGCTGCCTTGGAAGGTGGCACCTGGCCAGGGACATGGGGAGGCTGAGTAGGAGCCCAGCCCAAGGGCAGGGCAAGGGGGTGCCAAGGAGGCAGTCCCTGGGGACTTCGAAGAAGTCCAGAGCCGCTAGCCTCTCGACAGAGCCTCCACCCACTCCTGGCTTCCCTGAGCCACCAGAGCCCCACGCCCCGGGCCTGGGCACTGACCCCCTCTCCTGCCCACCTGTCCCTTGCCCCAGTGTCGGCATCCAATCCCGGCGTGGCTGCTTCTGAGTGTGTGACCTTAGGTAAATGACTGAACCTCTCTGTGCCTGTTTTCTCACTTGTAAAATGCACCACAGCAGTGGCTCCCTCAGGGGTGCGAGAGGACCAGGAGCACGGCACCTCTCAAGGAAATGCTCCACACGTGTCGTCACAGATGGTACCCCCTCCACCCAGGCACCCAGCAAGGGCAATGCCCCCTGACTCCTGGGCGATTTCAGGGTCCGCGGCTATCAAGGGTGCTGGCGGCCACCAGGACAGCCTTCATTCCTGCAACAGTAACCTTGGGCCTGTCTCCTGGGCCTGGGCTGCTGTCCTTAAGGTTGGGGCGGGGCACGTGAGCAAGGCAGGGCCTGCCCAGAGGTCCCGGATTGGGCTCTAGGGACTTCCACTGGGTATTTCTGGAAGCCCACTCTCTGGAGGTGGCACAGGCTCAGGTCTGTCCCCTGGTGACCGCAAGATGGCAGCAGTGCCCCACGCTTGGGGCCTGCAGGGCGCACAGAGGTGGGGTTCCTCTCCCTAGTGCCAAGCCGAAGAGGGGCGGGGTGGCTGCCAGCTCCAGCACAGCCCCTCTCTGCCCTAGTTGCTGCCGGACAGGGGTCTTTGTCCCCAAACCCAAACGTCACACAAACTCGCTTGCCCTCTACCTCTCCAGCCCTGCACATGCTTCTTGACTGGTGGGGCTGGGAGCTCGAGTTGGGAGATGTGGGAGGGAACTGGACAGGACCCCAGGCCCTCCTTGCACCCCCTAACCCACAGAGTCGTGGGGAGGATTTGATGAGAGGAGCTGGGGGCCAATTAGCAGGAGCTCTGAGTGGGCACCCCCTGCCCTGTCCCCTCTGAGCCCCCGGAGCTGCGGGCGCCTCCTACAAAGCGGGGTGTGCTCCCTCCCATGGGGCAGTGCCCCACACGCCTTCTCAGTGGGCACAGCATTCAGATCTGTGTGCGTTCCTAGTTCGACCCATACGTAGAAAAGCACATGTTCACGCCAACAACCAATTCTAGTCCAGCACCAGGGGTTCCGTCCAGCCCTCCCCTCCCATGTCTGTGACTTCCTTCTGCAGCAGGAGAAACCTGGATGCCATCGTCCTGCCTGTATGGACTTGCATATTCAGTCTCCCAGTAGCCGACGTCCTCCTCACCTTCCTTGGATCCCGACACACCTCGATGAACCCCCAGAACCCCAGTCCAGCCCCTCCTCACGCAGCGCAGGCTCCTACACCCCGCTCCACTCCTACCTGCCCTGCTTGGCCCTGTCTAATGGCTTCGGGACAGGTCACCTCTTTAAAGGCCCTGTCTCCAAACGCAGTCAGATTCTGAGGTACCTAGCGTTAGGACTTCAACATTAATTTAGGGAGGAAACACTCAGCCCATCATGGTCAGATATACTAATTACCTCTGGATCCTTCGGCCATTCTCCCAGTCACACCTGCTCTGGACGGAGTCCCAGGACGAAGTGCCATCACCCCT